GCAGGATGCTTTATGCGGGGGGTCAGCTTTTCGGAAGACTGGCCAAACTTTGTGTTCAGGCGCTGAGATCTTGCGAAGTGTCAGGCGGCCTTGTGTCTGACGAAGCTGCTGAAGCCATATCCCTTTACCTCGACCTTCTTGTCAAAGGCCCACCGCGGCTGGTGACTCGGGTGACGGCGCATCCGATGTACTCTTCACTCACGCTGCTTATGAAGGGCAGCCAGGCAAGGAGAGGTGTGGTTTGGAGGGAGTGCTTTTGGACGTACATGGGCAGCCCTTGAAATTTTTCTCTCTTGAGCTCACGAGAGACCAAAGAAGAATGTTGGGCGAAGGCCACACTTCTTCAATCATCTTCGAAGCAGAACTGTGTGCTGCGATCCTTGCAATGGTTGTTTTGAGGGACATCTTATGTGGTCGTCCCGTCGGCGCACACATCGATAATAACAGCGCAAGGGATGTACCCATTAGCGGGTCGGCCAGAAACCGCGTGGGTATAGCGCTGACGAAGTTGTACTTGACAGTCGAGTCTCTGTCGCGTATCCTTGGTTCGCCAAGAGTTCCAAGTCCATCCAATTGCGCCGATGAACATTCACGCAAGATGATTCTTGATTGGAGAGGACTTCGTGCTTCAGAATGCACCGAAGCTTTGGCCTCCATCTTGGAAGTGTGTCCTCTCGCTCGGGGTGCCGGGTAGAACGCTGGTCCGTCTTCTGGGATCGTACCTGCCTGAATGCCCTCCCTAAGGCCCTAAGGTTGTATTTAAACCTGGGCCCGCAAAGTAGTCGGTTGAGTTGGGGGTTGGCGCCGTGCATTTTTTGGAACTGCCTTGTCCTAGAGTCCTAGAAGTGTGGGTTTAGCCCTCGTGTGTGATGGGAGCCAGCCTGGCTCCCATCTTTGCGTTGCATGTTTGGCTTGATGAACTTTCCCCAAGTCACCGATGGAAAAGTCAGCCGCTGCTCTGCGTCTGCAATCTGTGAGTGAATTATATATAGGAAATTTTCTACTGAAGAGTATTTCTTGAACACCAGGTTCTATACTTGAGTGTCTTGATGATGCCAAAGGTTTTTGGTTCATATATTTGGCGCATGGTTCAAACTTAAGCTAGCCGTCAACGCGTTGATAGCGCTCTAAGTTTGCGCCAGAGGCCAAAAAACAAAAGTGATTTTGATGCAAGTGTTTGAGGCGATGTGCCTTTTTTCTTGCAAGCATGCGCAACTGCTGCACACATACCGCTTGGCTCTACAAGCGTGCCACGACCAGTCGAAATGACATCATGCGTGTCACATGCAACTTGTATGCCGCATGCCAACATGTTCAGGCAACTTGTGATTGCGCATTCAGGTCATGGCTTGCGTCAAAATTTTTCCCTCCCAGCGCCCTGCGCATCAGTTCATGACGCAAACTTGAGTCATCTCTTGAGTCACTCCGTGACCATCCAGCGGTGTGTTGCCCAGCTGTGCTGTAGCCTGTCCCGCTGCAATCCTTGCGCAAGCCACTTTCGACTCCTTGGGTCGAGCCATGCATTTTGGGACTCCCTTGTCCAATGCGTGTGTGCCTAACTCTCATGTGTGACGGGGGTTAGCGCCGTGCATTTTTTGGGACTGCCTTGTCCTAGAAGTATGGGTTTAGCCCTCGTGTGTGATGGGAGCCAGCCTAGCTCCCATCTTTGCATTGCGTGTTTGACTTGATGCACTTTCAACAAGTCACCGATGGAAAAGTCAGCCGCTGCTCTGCATCTGCAATCTGTGAGTGAATTATATATAGGAAATTTTCTACTCAATAGCAATAGTATTTCTTGAACACCAGGTTCTACACTTGAGTGTCTTGATGATGCCAAAGGTTTTTGGTTTATGTATTTGGCACATGGTTCAAACTTAAATTTGATTAAAATTCCTTTTTTAACCAAATTGAAACCGAAGTAACATACCGTTAAAATCAATTGAAATCGAATGAAAATACCGTTAAAATCAATTGAAATCTAATTCCGTTAAATTCAATTGAAATCGAATTACAATACCGCTAAAACCAATCGAAATTTAACTGAAGTTCTTTTTAAAATCAATTGAACTCGAATCAAAAATCCTTTTAAAACCAATTGAAAT